GAGATCAGAAATGTCTAGTGTGAAATAGTTGATTTTTTAAAATAAATTGGAATTTCAACGAAAGTATAGACGGAACAGACAAGCTAATTTCAGTTCACTCTTGTAACTTTGCTGGAGAGTTTGAGAATAGCAATTTTGCAGGTAATGTTTAAAAAAAAAAAAACTTGCTCTGAGTCTTGAGAAGCAATTCTGCTCAGTTTGTCCACAACAGACGCGTTCTACTTGTGTTGGCATCTCCCTGCAATAAGAACAGGTGCACCAGTCAGGCTGTCCTTGCACACGAGCAGGTGAATGGTGTCCACCTCCCTGGGCCCTGCTGCTCTCCTCCAGGACATCAAAAACCAAACTTGGGTTCCTCTGGCAGAGTTGGAACATAAGATCTCTTAGGCTATCTTCTGGCATATTATGAATGCGTTCCTGAGAAACAAACATTGAAACGTATGATACATCCACTTCATGCAAACATCTGTTACACGTATGTAATTTATCAACATATAAAGACATCAAATTAACTTTTATAAAAGTCATATATGTTATACTTGTAAGTGTATTTAAAAAGGGAATATTTGAGTAGACCTACCTGCAACTGAATATTTCTTGCCGCAACCGCATCTCATCTGTCCACTGTGATCTGCCTTCTGCCGCGGCGAGCAGCACGAACACCCTGTCCCCTGGAACGACTAGATCTTACTCTCGCAAGACGGACACGTCCCCTTGCCAATCTTGCACGTCTAAGCTCATCAGAGCTTGAATCAGTATCAGGACCCTAAGAAAGGAAAATTTTTAGATGACATATACACAACTAAATTCGTTTTTTTGTTTTAGTCTTTAAGTATAATCAACACGTGTAGGCATAAAAAAAAGAGAAATTTATCATGAAACTTATTTATTATTAGGGTCTATAGTATGGTCCGTGATCATCAGTCAGAAAGTGCAACTGATTTCTCAATTATCTTTTGAGCTGAAATTTTATAGGTCTAGATCATCGCCGCCGCAGCCAGTGATTGCAAAGTGACAGTGTGAGTGACAACGTTAGCAGCTTAGCTTCTCTCCATTTTTTTTTTTTTTTTTTTTTTTTTTGAAGTAGAGATCAATTTAAATAAAACATAAGACCAAATGGCATTTATAAATATATCAGAGACAACACACTGTTGCAGATTTTTTTTATGAGGCATCGGATCTGATCATGCGGCAACCAACATTTCACGTTAATCTTGGTCAGTGTCGGTACAGTAATTTTTAATCTGTTAAATGTTACGTATATGTTTTCGAGAAATTATTCCTGATATTAACTTGACCCTTGAGTATAATTCTTTTAGTTATAGTTTAAAAATAATGAAAATACACACAGATATAGACAGTGTTCGAAATTAGCGTCGGCCCGTCGGTCCTGCGCCGACGTACAAACGGAAGGACTCGCGAATAGTATGACTAAATGGGTCCTTGAAATAATTTTGGGCCGACGATGTTTTGCAGGGAAACAAGTTAGTCAATTACATCTTCTCAGACTTTTCCGGCGAGCCTGGAAAAATACACCGTTGCTTTTCATTACTGCTTGTTGGAAAGGCTTAAGAAGTTGCGATTGAAGTTAACGTTTGTTAACGTACATTGGTTTATGCATTTACATTAATTTTTATATCTTTCCTGAATTTTAACATGTTAATTGGATATATTTAACAAATTTACCAATGAGCGTATATAAAAGAAATTGGACTTAAAATGGGTAAAACGTATCAATTCTTCTTTTCACGTGCATTTTAAATAAATACTGAAGGTTTGATCTTTTTCTGCGTGAAATAAATTTACATTATATGTATGCAGTTACAAACTTTCCAGTTTTGTCCAATTGTCCAAGTATACTTCAGTACATTTTATCAACATATTGTGGCAATCTAAGAAACTTGCGTATTTTTCTACCTACGGATTTTAAAAACAGAAATTGTAATTCCGAGAAAAAGCATGTTTACAGTAATATGTCATTACGTGTTATATATGGCCAAGTAAGACTGTGGTATGATTATTTTACCGTGTCATATTGTTAATACTTGCGAGTTGTAGATATCCTTTATCAAATTGACATATTATATATAAAGCGATAAACTTGCGAGATCATCAATACGTAAAAGTTTATTTTTCCCAAATATTTGATGGTATTATATTGGGCTTACGCTGCCCTGGAAGGACTCGTATAGTCCCTTTATCTGTGGGTCCTTTGGACCCATAGAAAATAATTCTGAATTTCGAACACTGGATATAGACTATGAAACAGTTTACTGAAAGCGAATATGTTAACTTTACATCAAATAACGTAGTCCCGTGAACCCCCATCGTGGGCCCCAACGAACATTTTCTTTTAATTTTAGAAGTTTTCATGTTTAAACTAAAATTTCATGAATTGCAAAGTGTTAATAATTTTTTTTGGTCATAAACTTGTGTAAATTTAAAATCTCTTTTATTAACTGGGCTTATGATATACTGAAAGTACTTACAACTTGCGTATTGGAATCCATCTTGCTTTCAACTTCGGCTATTTCCGGACTACGAAGCGTCTTCGTCATCAACGATTGCGACGTCAGACTCAGCAGCGAAAGATAATTAGATACGATCATCGTAATTTTTATTGAAGTAATCTTACCCATATGATCCTTTTACACACCAGAACAACAATAATTTATTGTTTTCCGTGTTTTGGAAAAGAATAAGATGGTTTTTAGGGATATGAAAAAATGCTTAAAATGAGGTTTATTATCACTTTAAAAAAGGGTATCAAAAATTTAAAAATTTAGTGTGTCTTCCCCAATATTTTGTTGAACCTGAAACTCAAGATAAAAATACTAAAAATTGCCCTGTTTGGATTCAAAACTCACAGACAACCTGTTTCACAGAAATGTACTTCTGAAAACATATGTCTAAACATTTACTGTAAGACTGTAGCATCTGAAATGTTAATTAATCTTTTGATATTATGGAGAAAAATATATACGTCTTTAGTGTTATGATGAAAAAAGCTAAATAAATATATCGTAAAATATTCTATAAATCTCTTTCACATTTTTGTTTCATATCATCATTGCAGGGAAGCAGTAACTTTTCTTTGTTTGTTTGATATGTTCTCAGCTATCTTATAATTACTCACTGTTCATTTATTGCCTGCAAAATAGTTGGTCCAGATGAAATACTTGATGTTAGAACTGGCCCAAATGAAATAACGAAATTCTTCACAAGTAAAAGAAATGCCATTTGGAAAATCCGTCCAAATAAAATACATCCCGTTTGAGCCCCCTTCTGGTGCTTTTTCATATAGCGGAAGAATTCTTTGAAATTGTCATATTTATTTTGTCAGTGTGTGAAAGTTAATAATGACAGCAGAAGTTTCGCTTGGTGAATGAATTATAGAAAAAAAGATGATCTAATCCTGGTGCATTTTCTGTCTTTTCTGTTGCATATCTGTCCCTCTCAACTTTTAAAATATAATTCAATATTATTTTATTGAATAGAAATTTGCTTTACACACTTTCACCTTTTTATTAATGTAAGATTTGCCATTTTTACATTTCTATCTCTTAATCGTCACACTCATCTTCTTCCCATCTGTATATAACAGGAAGTTTTTAGAGAGACTGAGCACTTTTATGTTCTCCGAGTTAGCTAACAAGAAATTCTTAGACATGAAATTGTTTTATCATTCTTCAAACATTTGTTTATCTTTTCCTAAAAAAGAAAAAGAAAGAAAAAAAATTCAGCCGCATACGATTTTTTTTAAACTAAAAAAAAAAGAAGTAAATGTTAGTGTTTACGATAATAAGTCAATATATATGTATGCATAATAAATCAAAGTTACAGCGTTTTTGTCTGTAATTTAAAGTATTAAAGTTTTTTTTACAATTACATATACACTGTAGTTCAAAATAAATCAAAACATTTTTTCTAATTAAGGACAATGAGTGTCATTTCATACAAACCACATTTTTACTATTTTCCTTATTGAACAGAAGGAAATAAATGAAACTTTTTTTTTTGGGGGGGGGGGGGGGTTAATTCATTTCATTTACACAATGTAACTCTGAATTCAAAGTGAAAATAAATGCAACACTGACAACACGAGACATTACTTTCATATGTATTTTAAAGAGTAAACAATCTAATATGTATAATTAAATCATCTGTTCGGGGGGGGGGGGGGAGATAAAATTAATCAAGTTATTCAACTACTCTTCCGTGCAAATCTAGAAGCTTAAAATGAGGAACAAGTTATACTCGAAAACTGATAAAATCAACTGCCATCCTTAAATTCACTATCAATCGCGTTTCCTGGGAGGGGAAGGCACGCATGCTGTAACTTGAGACACACACTTCCTAACATCAGCTGAAACTGTGTAATAACCTATGTATAGGCTATATATGCAGGCTATCTATGCATACATTATTAAAATAGACTGGATATGATTCAGTGCATTAAAGTAATGAGTTAATGAAAATACTCTCTAACAACTGAATCAAAGAACAATTATCTATAAATATTTTAATGACGATATAAATTAATAATGAATCTCTGGAGAAAAAAAAAAATCAGTCGCATGATAAATGATACACTGTAACTGAAGGATGTTACTTTAAAAAAAAAAATCCCATTTCTAATGCAATGAAAGTTTCTTTATTTGATAAATTCTCAATGCATGAATGAAAAGGTTTTTTAAAAACGTGAATTTTTTTTTTTTTTATTTGGAAGTTGAATAGATATTTGCAAAGAATACAATATCAAATAGAAGAACATTGAGAGTAATCCCTAAAGGTACACTCTAACCCCCCCCCCCCACACACACACACACACACATACACACTCACGCTTTTATTTTTAGGTTTGTGTTTTTATTTTTATCTATAATCAGCAATAAAATATAATATAAACGATAAAATTATTTCATTTGAAATTAATATTGTATCACACGTTTCCTCAAACGAAGCATTTTGCGAACGGCTTAGTAAAAACCCATTGACCTTGACCTTATGCCGAACACTCGGGATAGATCGAAAACTGAAAATGGATGCTGTTACAAAGGTAAAGATTGCTGAATATTTAATGTCGTATTGTATTTTTTTTATGTTGCTTGGTGAAGACAAAAACCCTGTCAATTATTTTAACGAAGAAAAAAGTTTTTCCATTCCCTACTGAAAGGGAAATTTTCACATACCGGGTGCCTTGTCATACGTCAACTCTGCCGATTTCAAAATTACTATTCATGATTCTGACTCATGTGCGTAAGGCATGAGTTTATCATATTTAGAACTGTCGGTTCTGGTTGCTTACAAAGTAAATAATTCAGTTCAAGTAATCCTGTGATGTTCTTGTCGAACTAGCACACGTTCTTCACAACAGGTTCTGATCAAATGCCCAAATGGGATACAGTAACCCGTTTGGGATATATTTTCCCAAAAGGGAAATAAATTGACACTTTTACAACGCAAGAATGGTAAAATATAATCCTATTCGGTATTTTTATTTAAGCTTAAATAAACATTGAATGCAATAACTTTTGGCGTTCTACAGGTCTACCAAGTCCAGCACAATCTCTTGATTTAGCTGTATAGATAGTTTTTGATAGGCCTGAATTTAGCAAGAGTTATATCCCATTGGCCGCTATATTGGAGGTCCAACTAGCGAATATTCCTCTTTGAGCAACCAATTTTATGTGATTTTTACATGCATATTGTTTTCAGAAGTGTTCAAGGTTATCACTGCACCAAGGTGCGACTTTTTGTTGTACATGCTGAAAAAATAACACATTTAAGAAAAAAGTGTGATAAAACAGCTAAATCAAGCTATTCTCAATCTGAATAGCTTAATAAAGCTACATAGCTAAATCAAGCTATATAGCTAAATCAATAGATTGTGTCGGACCTGTCTAAAGTTTATGAGATTGGTCCTCAAGAAGTGAAGAATTCTAAGATCTTCTAGGAAATGAAATAAAATGTCTTAAACAGTAGGGATAATGGAAAACTTTTTACCAGAGGCTGTTGCTTTTTACTTAGTTTAATGTGGATTTACAATATTTATAGCTAAATAAAAACTGAAGACTTTAACTTCCTTCCAGTTAGGTTTTCCCCCAAATACTTGGATATGCCTAGAATTGCTGTGCAGGAAGGGGAGGAAATGGGAGTACTAGTTCTTTATTAGAAAAAATTGTCAGATAGTAAAACTCCTTAGCTCATGTAGCTGTTGGGGCAAGTCCAATAAGTTTCTTAATTATACATTTATCCTTACCCTTTATGTGCAGTAGATCCACCTTATTCAGCATAATTGCAAGATAAATAAATAATTTTTTTTTAGTAAACTTTTATGTTTTATATCAATTATTTCAAGTATGTGTGGGATCAATCTAAGGTAAACCATCATAAGGTACAGTTTTCCCTCTATAAAATTACCAACTTTACAGGGGAGTATGATAAATAAAAATAAATGTGTATGTTCATTATATTTTCTTAGTTGCCCCATACTTTGCCAATATAAAGTTATGGTATTAAATTGTCAGAAGACGTTTAAAGATATAAAATTTCTACTGGTAAGTTACAAAGGTCAAAGTCATTTTAAGATTTTACCAGAATTAATTAACATCACCATGATCACAGAGTCTGATTTCATTTCTGGTACTGTTGTACCAATAATCAGAAAACATCGATTGTCGACGAAAAAATGATACCGATTCCGATGATCGATTATAATTTTTCATAATCGATCATCGGAATCATACATTTAATGCAATACATTCCGGAATTATCCATTTCTGGTTTAAAATTTATTTCTTCTTAATGAAAGAAAATGGCGTCTGCATCTGATACTAGCCACCTAGCACGAAGCAGAGGTGATTAAGAACTGAAAGGTGCATATATAGATAGTGTAAAAGAAGCAAAACAACAAAGACAATGATATATTATATATTTTATATATTCATGTTAAAGAAATAATATGAAAAAATTGTAATAGTCTGCTTTTTATATACAAAACTATGACATCCGATTGTAATCGGTAAAATCGCATCGGAAGCAGTAACCGATTCCAACCGATGATCGATTATGAAAATTAACCGATGTCCCATCACTAATTTCTGGTCTGTTGAGAGATTAAATTCAAAGTTGTCCCATATTTTTCTCTGTAATTTTAAGATAAAGTTTCCCAGTTAAATACAGTTGTCTTTCTTAAGTCAATGTTAATTAAAGTTTCTGTTTGATAGTTTTAAACTAATTGAAAGTATTGTAATTTATTCATGACAATATTTCTCAATACTCAAACTGCCACAAGTAGGGTTTTCCATAAGACCCCAGGCCAGGAGATGGGGGATTTTCTCCGCATATTATGATGTATAAATCCCCTGGTTATTCAGATATTCTCCCTTAACCCCTGGAGGGGAAAAACGCCACCCCCTACTTTTTTAATGTCCCCTGCTATATTAATTCTTAGAAACAACGTACCCTGACAAGGAAAGTGAGGAATGGCCAGCCTCCATACATAATAATTTACACAATAAGTGAATTCTAAAGAAAAAGGTTACCATATACAATATGGCACTGTTTCCAAAAAGTTTTCTTATAAATTAATTGAAAAAAACCTACTATGTAATTAGGTTTATACTCATATTAAACATGTTAAGCTTATAGTCTACCATAAAATGTATTGGAGGATAAGAAAGATAACTCTAGTCTCTACAAGTGATGATTCACCCTGTAATTGATCACCTTTCTGATAGATCAAACTTATTCTTGTTAAGGGACCATCTTAAAGTTGCTTTTTTGTAGCAAGTTTTTCACTGTATAAATAAGTTAAACTAACATTATGTGTTAAGTTCTGCTAATTAAACCATATATATTGTAGAACATGTTGTATACATTAAAATTCATAAAAAGTAAAACAATATATAGAGTAGAGCATGTGGGAGTGATTATTGTGTATGGATGTCAATACATTTATTTAATGTCCCTTAACATGCTTAAGGTACATTTAATTTGTTTTGCTGTAAAAATGACAGTAATTGTTATCAAAATTCAAGTTTACTCTTAATAAGCATGATCATGATGATAAGGCATCATTTATCCCACATGCTGTCAGAATCCAACACACATATTTCAATAATGGTTTATATTTAAACTGTTAAATGTTGAATGATGTGCATGTTGAGTAAAAGGAAATACTTGTCAGGAATTTTATTTTGATGTATACTATAATATAATGAAAAAAAGATAGTAAAAGAAAACTCTTAATATTACAGGTTAAAAGTGTGAGTAAGTCACAGACATATATTTGCTGATTCCCTTGTTTTGTTTCAGTGTACAAGCAACTTTAGTATAGAACCTCTGAAAGAACCCAAGGGTTTCATCAAGGTCATACAATGGGTATGTATAGTAATTTATAGAAAAATTTATATTTGTCTGTTGCCCATTATCATGATTATTGCATTATCACATTCAGACATGCACATACAAATTATTGCAGATACAGAAAATATGTATGGTTTTTACTTTGTAGTGGTTTGGGCTATATGGAGTATGATCAATATCAACCTGAATAGCTCAATGGTTGGTTAGAAAACCTGAATAGTAACGAAGGGAACTTATGGGTTCAATTCGCAGTCTGACTCAGTCCTTTAAATTTTCCTTTCCTATTACCTTTGGTGCCATTGACCACTGCTGGACTTTCATGTGAAAGTACTGCAAGGGGCAAAAGGATTAGGGTTGTGTGTCTTTGAGGATGAAGGCAATTCAAGAAGGGAGGATTGTAGCTGGTTTGGCTAAATGGACCATGGATATTGGCCTGGATGGCTCATCAGTCAGATTATCTGACGAGTAATGCTGGGGTCCCTGGTTTGTTTCCTGGACCATAAATTTTCTATTTTCTTCTTGTACAGGTTATAAAGTCTTATTTATTTTGAAGAAAAATTTCAACAAAATTAAGGTTCATTGATACTCTGATAAGAGAGATAGCTCATTACCTGAATGTCTAGATTGATTTTATTCCTTTATAGATTTGTCAAGTTGAAGTGTCTTTTTTGTCCAACTTTGCCCCGCAAGCTATACTATAATTGTTTGTACTTTACTAACAAATAAATTTCTTTTGGAAAATCATAAGTTATAGACTGAAACATTTTATATGAGTGAGAAGAGTGTTTATGAACCTTAAATCCACATGATGAAATTGGTACTCTTGCTATTTTCATATAAAGAAAATTTTGCAGATATTGAAGTCTACAAGTAATCATTTTTTTAAACTGTATGAACTTAACAAAAAAAAATTAAGTCCAAGTCCATGACTTTTTCTGCCCATACATTATTACCAGTATTGAAATCTGTGAGCTGAATAAATGTGATTCATATGTTTATGATAGAATATCAGTATACAGAATACATTTAAAGACTTTTTTCAAATACAGTTGAATACCAGTATCTCAAACACCAATATCTCAAATACCATGGATATGTCAGATATGTTGAAGTGATTTGGAGGTCCCCAAACACTCATTCCTCTGATGTCTGACTGTTTTTTTTCGGTCTCATCAAGTTTGAAACAACGGGGTTTGACTGCATGTATTTATATTCACAACTGCAAATCTTCATTCAGTCATTCAAACTATTATAGAAATTTGCACCTAAGGCACTATTGATTGTTAGAAGTTGATGCACTGTTTGGTGTCTTGCTGCCATTGTTATGATAGTATGCAGTGTTTGTACACTACATGAAAAGGATAGAGCATCACTTCTCACATTGCTCTACAAGATTGTGTGCATCATACAGCTTTAAGTAAAAATCTCATCCATAATTGAATATTCTCAGAGAATGTTGGGCGCATTAGTGATTGTTCAAAGATGTGGAGGATTGCCTTTCTAGATAAAACAATTAGGGGTCATTAGAAAACATCAGTCTATAATGATGGAAAAGGCCCACAGCATTGCGGGATATTGATTGGGCCAGTAGTATGACAAGTTTTATCTGTTGAGCTCAGCTGTCAGATTCGAGACTGATTTTATTATGGTTTTATGCTACTAATAAATCATCATTATTTCATAATAAAAAAGAATCCTCAGTTTGTGTGAAGGTTAATATTGTGATACATATCAATATAGAAGATGTTGTATCCTCCCAGTCGTACTTTCCAATGGTATCAAAGTCATTAAATTCCATGAAATGGTTAATATAATTTTAACAAACAGAATTAACTTTTCAAATGCCCTTCGTATGGTTGACATATGGTGGAACTTGTCTAATCCAGATGTCGTGTGTACCAAAATCTTAAAAATTGTCTAATACGATGTAAACTTTAATTCCTTTTTAATATGTTCTATTTTTAAAAACGTCTTATCTGGAATGTTTTCTTATCCAACCAATTTCAATGGAAGCATTTGTGTCTGGATTTAGACAAGTTTTACCGTTACTTTATACATCTTCATGTGGATCTTTGTGTTTGTTTAAATTTAGAATTTTTCGCTACTCCACCAATGAAAAAAAAACAAATATGAATATTGGTCAGAATACTTTTATGTCCCAAAAAGTTTTGTACATGCAGATAAACAACAAGTTATCAGTCCACTGCAAGCAATATTGTGTAATTGACCATTAAAGAGCATCTAGATTCTCAGAGGAAGGGCTTTATCAGCAAAATGTTACCCTTACTTAATCAATACATGAAAGTCTTCAAATGTGATCTGCCCAGAGCATTTGCTTCATAGACTGTGACACTAATCATGGGCTCATTTTTGATGAAAGATATGAGTTTCATGTTTCTAGAATCAAACTAAAGTCCGAAAAACAAGGTGCTTATAAAATTTCCATAAATTCTAGACACTACCTGTGTTTAATTGCCCAATTATGACTTCCAAAAAAAAAAAATGGCAGGAGGGCATCCAGAGTGTTATCAATATGTTTATCTGTTTGGTTGTCTCTCCAAGAAAACGGTGCATTTTTGCCCACATTTCCATTAGAAAATGGTGAATGTAAATAAGTCCAAGGTAAATGGTTCAGAAATATGGACAGTTCTGTAGTATCAGGCTAGTATGTACAAGACTATGAAAAATGACATACTATAAAACTTGGTAATACCAGAGTTCTGAGAACATTTTGATTAAATATTTGTTATATATATATATACATGTATTGAATTTGCTAAAATATATGATAGCAAATTCACAAAGTACATGTATATTTTTTTCTTAGTTAAACTCATTCTGAAGCATTTTGCATGATTTATTGTCATTATGAAACATAGAAACCCTCTGTTCATGACTGTTAACTTGACAGTCTTGAGAATGAAATGGGTGTTGAAATCATTTTAAAGAATTCAAGAAGTGCTTTAACAATTGGTTAGTCAGTACAAACTAATGTGCTTCGTATATATCTAATCAGTTACCACCAGTCAATTTGGTCAACTAATCGGAACTGGTATCCAGATTGTGTGTAATGAGACGGGAAAGCTTATGTGTGCTGTGAATTCTTGATCAACTTTCTGATAATAAAAAAAAACAAGTATTAGCTTTCCTATAAAAGCTTGTCTGACTTGAGCAAATTTATTTTATGCGAAGAATCAAGAAAAGCTTAATTCAGTCTAATCAACATGAAATGAATTCTTTTGCTAAGAAACAAGAAAAGTTCAATTCAGAGGCATCAACATAAAATAAAACGTGGACATGAATTCTATTTTGAATTTATTGTAATTTCTTTTTTTCATGGACGTACTGTATGAACAGGAAAGGGGGGATGTTGGGGACCGTGCTCCCAATAATTTTCCTGATTTATACATAGCTATTTTATGCTTGTGTCCCCTAAATCATGTAAATATTAGCTTTTGATAACTTTTTATGCTCTAATGACTATAAGGAATTTTTTCTTGATAGTGCCCACCCTAAATTGAAAATGTCTGAAATTTCTTCCAATGAGCCTGATTATGGGTTCAAAATTATATCTAGTGCTTTTGAAAGAAAAAACTACAATACATAAAAATCTAAACATCAATTGGTGAACAATTTTGATAATTAAGAAATGTTTTATTTAAAAAAAAAGATAAATGTGTTACAAGTGAGCTAACATCTTTGCATTTAAGCAAAGGAATATTCAACATCTATTCTTCACTTCGATTTTTTTTTACTATGAATAAACCAAACGTTTGCAAGTTATGAATATGTGTATATTTATAAAAATGCTAAAGGAAGAGAGGCTTAGTGTGCATTGAAAATAAACATCCATTAGTTAATCCGATAAAGATAATCGCAGTGTTGACCTGACCAGCTTCATTCCTTCTGTTTTGCTAGACATGAATGATGCATTCGGAGAATGGTCAAATGTTATGTAACCTGTAATGTATAATGTGATAATAATGACATCAGCTCCAATGCTCTGGCTTGTTTGGGTGTTTAGCATGTTTCCTTTACTCCTTATGCTCTCCAATTGATAGTGAAGATAGTACGAAGTTTCCAAGATCAAGTTATCACAAGAATTCTATTGAATGACTTGACCAACAAGCCTTGGCTAAAGGTATCACACCGGTAATTGTTTTCACTATGTAATTCTATATAGAATAAAAAATCATTAAAAATCAGGTATTCGAATTCATGAAAAAATATTTAGCAGGAAGTGTTAAACGTTACCAGTCACATCAGCTGACACCAAAAAATAGGGGACCTACACGGCATTTTCTGATTTTTTCCATCCGCAAACAGGAATACCCTCAAAACCACGTGTATTCAATATGTTTATAAACATCCTGTGTGCACCCCAGGAAGTGGCCTCCTATGTCCCGAAAGAAATAGTTCCTGTCAAAAACCTTTAATATTTTACAAAGTACATAAAATATCCTAAGCACAGATACCAAAAATGTAAAAATAGAATAAGGGAAATTAAAAAAATTCTCACAATAAAAAAAATATTTCTTTATTATGTATGGAACTACAATTGACTAAGTTCATTTTGATTGGTCAATTACCGGTGTGATACCTTGAAGGACCTTTGAAGTTGTCAGATTTTTTTCATTTTTGCACCTGAGATTTCTTAAATAACTGTCACTAACATCCTGAAGTCTGGGGATCTAAATCCCATTATTGCTGGAGATATGATGCATTTGTCTCCCTTACTCCAGAGCAGTCAAGAATACACACTGAGCACTCTGACAGAAGTTTTTTGTGCATATTTTGAAGCAGAATTTCATCCTTAATAGACTAAGCATGGCAACCAATTTTGTATCCGTGGAGAGTATATGCACTGTTCTTCACAACAAACAAAAAATAATTCAAAAGTCTGAGACCATTATGCAATTATTACATAACAAAAATGCATTTTACCCTCCTAAGAATGACAGAATTTACAGAAATTGTTAAATATTAGGCTGATAAAAAAATCTGCATCTGGTCAA